CTTGGCAGCGCACCGGAGTAAAAACTGGTAACAATAAATTTCATTTTTTAGTTTTTTTCCGGGAATAATAAAAATCCATAACTACCAATTGTTTTTAACGGATGCAATTTTTATATTGAATTGCTTCTTCGCCGTGATAAATTTCCTTACAGTGAATTTTTATTGTTGAGAATAGATTAACTCTTCCCGAATATTATCTAATATTGAAATAATTCTTCTACCAGTATTTTCTCTTTTCTGTCCCGCTTGCAGGCGCAACACCCGTCGTGATCGTGTTAATAATATAACTATAACCTTACATCACATAAGGCAGACCGCATACTGAGGAGGGAAGTGATAAGAAAGATACATACAGCAGGCCTGCCAACTACTACGTTTTTTGTAAAATATTTTATAGAGTGGTAAACATTCAAAAACCAAAGCTTTCAGAATTTATGGTATTTTGCCAACATTTTAAAAGCTTCATCACAAAAGAACTGGTTCACAGTGGCGTTAGATATGAACTTTTAAATCTTTTATATGTAGTGGCGTGGAAAAAAAGTTTAAATGGATAAAGAAAAAATATACATTAAAACATTAATGTAGCTCTACCACTAGAATAAATTTTTACAAAAATCATGAAAAATTGGCAGCCCTAGTATAAGTGACAAATTCTTAAAAATTTACTTCAAAATGAGCAGAGGTGATGTGCGCATGCTAATGTATAATAGTTCAACATTAGAAACTGTTTTCCTTTTTTCTTCAGTCTTGATATTTTTAAAATTTTCGATATGAATGACAAGATTTATGTTTGGCAACATCTATTTTCTCTTTTATATTTTTATTCACTTTTTATCACTTTTGAATTTTTTATTACTTTTTTTTATTACTTATTGAAGTTAAGCGTAAGTTTAGAAAATGAAAATACACGAGAGAGAAATTTTTCTACAACAATGGATAAATAATTATTATTTGAAGAGGAAAAAATTAAAAAAAGAAAAGCACTTAAATTCGCCATAACTTTCGAACAAATAGGAATTTCAATAGAAACTCTTGTTCAGTTTATAATTCAAAATGCTCCTTTCAGCATATAAAGTTTTAACTATGTACTTGCATTTGCAGTAGATCAGCCAAGATGGTTATTTTTACTTCTAGTGTAATGCTGAGCAAAATAAGCGACAAAAAATTTGCAAAAAAGAACTTTAACTCGCAACAACTTTCGAACAAATAAGAATTTTTTAAAAAAGTGTTAAGATCATACGCAAATACGGCCTGTAGAGAAGCCCTTACTGAATTTTCTCCTTCAAGTTTAACAGTTAATAATTCTCGAAACAATAATTGAATCGTATTTTTTTTTATTCTATCGAGCTTCTTATACAATTTACACTACATCTTCTTAATTACAAGTTTTAATGTCTTACATATTTTGAACAGCAAAGCAAATTGTAACGTAAAGCAAAAAAGAGAGAAAAAAATTTGCAAAAAAAGCACTTAAAATTGTAATAACTTTCAAACAAGTTGGAGGTTTGAAAAAAAACTATCTATTAAGTTAATAAACAAATTCTGCCAAAAAACAGTTAATTATTCTTGAAGTGATTATCGAGTGTATACTTTTTTTATTATTCTGTCGTTATTCCTGTACTCTTTTCTACACATCTTAATCATTTCAAATTTCTAAGTCTTATAGTTTTTGCTTTGCAATACAAAATATAACGTTATGTTAAACACCTAAAACAGGATCGGTGGATTTTTTAATATAGAGAGAATTGGACATTGTTAACGCTAAAAGTTCAGATGTTCCTTTGCATTTTAAGATGAGATTTACAAGGCAAATAACTATTCATTTTATTTCCGACAGTGGTTCTCTCGATTATCAACAGATGGCAGTACAATAAGAGGCATTTACTATTTCCTCTGGCTGATAGAAATGAATTGAGTTACACTAATCTGCGTTGCTACGACGTCCTGATATGACGTCAACGGAGGAACGCAAGACTTCCGGTTTGATTTGTTTTGTTTTTTCGAACAGTAGTGGGTGAATTCTCAAAAGAAATTACGGCCAGCAATTAAAAATATCAATTATGATTAATTTGATATCGAATAGAATATTATTAAATTCACAGAATTAAAAAAATCAAATACTTCGATGAAAATTAAATTTTTTCCTTGAATTTATGGAATAAAAAGTCAGAGTAATTGAAATAACAGATGAGTGATACGGCAATAAAATATATCATCAAATAGGTGAGTCTTACTTTCCAATAACAGCACATGGTGCTGCATCTGTTGAAACAGCCGCTGTGTCATATTTTCCCAATTTAGAACTCGATATAAATTCAGGCAGCCAATGTTTTTCATCTTCGGTGGTTTCGTTGGATGGTAAAATAAAACAAACAACGACGACGGCGATGATTAGTGTTAAGAGTACAAGAGCAACAGCAACGGACACTTTTACTTTGATTGTGAGGCTTCGTCTGAAATTTAAATCATATAATGTAAGACATATATACAAAGGTGAAATATTTGACGGTCAGCAGTGTTTTTTTCTTTCTTTTTAAATTAGCATAAATGATGGAAAGATTTCCGTGTCAGAGTACCTGAATCAAAATATTAGATAGCTACTATTCTAAGAGTATTAATTCTTAGTCACACCCCAAGAAACCACTACATTTATATAAATTTTTTTGTTGAATTTTTTGTAAGTACCAAACTTTTGGCGCTTTTGTAACCGAACTGATGTTCTTTACTTTACTTTATTTACAAAAAATGGGTACCTGGGGAACTGATGTTCTGATACCGAAAGAGTCCCTTCCCTTTTTACAAAACCAGGAAAAATTTGTAATGTGGTGACTGTTCTAATTACTCAAAAAAAGATAACTATTTTTATTTGTTAAAATAATTCATAAAACCTTGACATTATTAGTTATTTTGAAATAGCCTTAAAAGCTGTTTTTCATTCCTCATTGCAAAAGCATTTTATTTGAAGAAATAATTTAAATTATTATTTAAGATACATTATGAGTGAATATCTGAAGGATTAGAAAGAAATGTATGTAATGAAATTTTTTTTCGGTTATAAGTTGGAGCTTCGAGCTTTGAAACCTATGCTTTAATTAAGTTGGTACGTTTAAACCTACATTTAATTTGCAAGTTTAAACTTACATTTCTCTTTGCACTCAATCAAGAAAAGAAAAGAAAAAACTCAATCTTATGTTTGCGAGTATATGGATGTTTAATTTCAAAAAGTTACATGATATCTGATAAATGGGAAACATTGTATGGCAAATAGTTGAATCAAGTCTCGAGCCGTGGTAGTTCAGGGGATACAGAGTTCGCATCCAGTGAGGTGTCTCAGGTTCGAATCCCAGCGGGGGGCTGGTTGATGCGAAGTATGCTTCCACCTCACACCAAGCATAGTGCTGACTTAAAATATCTTCAGTGGTAGTCAGATCATGGGATAGAGTCCCTTTGCAGCTGGGCAAACCAGGGGATGTTTTTGCGGTTTTCCTCTTAATGTAACTCAAATGCGGGTCAGTTCCATAAAAAGCCTTCCACGAAAGCTAGTTTGTCCTCAACTTGATCCAAGACTTCCCTTGTCTTCTGGGTTGGATTCAAAATTACTTGACTACGGAGCGAAGGATGTTAAAATCTTCTTTCATTTTTCAGTACCACTATAATTCAAAAAGCAATCTAATAAAAATGTTGCAATCCTACAGAATGTTTTACAAAATCGCTGGTATTAAAACGTAAACGACCTTATTAACGTCCTTTCCTCATTTTTGTCGATCCAAATTTTGCATGGGTAAATATGAAAGGTTGAAACAAGATCTTCAAATCGTGACAAGAGTTTTGTCATGAAAAATCTGCTAATAGAAAGACTGTTTACATGGAGTTATTATAGAAATGCTTCCATGTGTTTTTCCAACCTCTGTAAATCTTTATGAAACAAGAAGCACAAAAGAAATCAATAAAAGTTGTGACTAATGAAATGTTAGAGCGATTGCTTCTTACATCTTTTAGTTCTGAAGCAATTTTTATTTCTCTCTCAGTTTCCATATTAACAAATTTACTTTTTTAACTTTAATAAAATTAATTAGAATCAAGACAGAAAAATAATGTTTCAATCGAAAAGTTGTTTGAGATCTTCATGATTTTACGACGTGTTCAACCGCAGAGTGGACTCCAGTCGTTAATAATCGATGGCCAATTACAATAACAATTACAATAATGATCTTTTTCTCTCGTTTTTTTTAATCTTTTTTTAAAATTTTATTTATTCTTTTTTGCAGCTCAATATTACATAGTTACTTTTAACATGGAATATAAAGCAATTTTTTATAGCAATAAAAAGATTTGTTTTTACTTTAAGCAAAATTTAGGTCATAGCTATCTATATTCTAAAAAAATATCAAATTTTGTCAGACTCCCATGTGAATAGTGCATAATTTATAAAAGTAGAGTTTATTAAAGTAGGTATGGTATAGATCAGTATGTAGGAAAGTCACTAAAGTATGATATGGAATGAAAAAGAACATTATTTAACATTTGCTTTCATTTTAAGATTTTAAGTAAAATTTAAGTAATAGTTCACTATTGACAAATTATATAATAATACTCTTAAGTGGTGCCATGATTCGAACTGTATTTCAACAACTATTCAATCAACAATCGTTGGCAACAATCTTTAATTTATGACTGGTCTCAATGCAAGCAATCTGTTTTAAATGGCCGATATTCAGTAGTTAAGCAAAAATTCTTAAAAGAAATGAAACGTTTGTGATATTTTAATACGTGGGCAATCTATGAACTTAGTAGCTACATTTGAATAATTTTGCAATGGTTATTGATACTAATGACTTCAGGATTTTGTTTGAATATTTTTCAGAGATTTCAGAATATCAATTAACATATACTTACCAAGCATTTTCTTCTTAATACGTTGAATGCCATGGGGTCACCGGTGATCGGCACTGAGATTGTTCGCAGAGCAAAGGGGATCACCGGTGAAGCCAATACTTTTAGAAGCACATAATTTGAGTAAATTTTTAATTTGTTTTAGATTATTATCGTTACTACAATGGTTTGAATAAATTAATGCAATATAGAACACACAAAAATAGTTTTATTTATATACACAGAGATGCCACCTTGCTCCGGACAGCAAATACATATTTTTAAATGGTAGTTTATCAATTGTGATTCTTAGTTTAATAAATTCAATTTAGTAGATTTTTATCCACCACTATTTCTAAATAATTCGTAGGCTTATATAATTCACTCCTGCAAAAAGCCAAATATTTGCAAAATTTAGTTTGTAGTTATCTACCGTTTTCTTCTCATTATTTTGGCGCGTCCGGAGCAGTTGGTATCTCTAGATATGTCATGCTAAACCTTTTAAAAAAAACTAGAAAAATCTGTTTATTATTTGCAAATTTAGTTTGCAGTTTACCGCTTGGCCAGACGGGTAAACCATGAAAAATTAGAGTGGCATTCAATGTGTTAAATCAGTACCAGTGTAGACTATATTTGAGGGTGCCCCTTGATTCTCGCCAAGTTGTGATCGCAATTGATCGCCAAGCTGGGCGAAGTTGAAACCCAATCGTGATTCTGAGTGGCTTAGATTTTAGCGTTATTTTTAAATGTTCAACGGTACATGCAATTTCAGAGGTCCGTTAGTTCTACGTTGGATACCGGCTGGCAACGTTACTTTTGAATCTGGTCAATAAGATCGAAGGTATGTGGGCAGTCATGAAAAGGGATTTAAGAAAAAAATGTCACCGCTAGTCCGGTATTACAGACGCCATTTTCGATTCGTATTTCGTCAAATTTATGTGGCGATGGAGGTACACAGATTCTATTCATGATAAATTTAAACAGTATCTAACTGTTATTAGATAATTCTGTGCAACTAAATCTGAGAATATTCAAGCTTAATGAAGAAGTGGGTTGTTTTTTTTCCTTTTCTTTCTGCGCCTACTCCATTAATTTTTGCTTCGATTCAAAATCCTTTTTATTGGGTTTATTAATTTTGCTTATATTGGTTTCATTGCAAGTTTTGACCGATATTTTGTTGAAATTTTTCAATGTTTCATTGAAATATCATTATGCTTTGGCCGCCATTCCTGTTACCACGGTGTTCCACGCAAACAGGAATACCGCCAAACACAAGTCGCCAATTTCGCCAAGGGGCACCTTCAAGTATATTTTTCCCCAGTACCAAATTAGTTTTAAAAAAATGTAAATTTCGCAAACTCTTAAATCATGTTCTTCTTCGTAATGAATCTTCCACCAGTAATCTCTTAATAAACCTAATTATTTTCATTGTAGTAGTACAATTGTACTGGTGTTGATTTATTGTTACTTACGACACCACATACTTGAAATGTATCAACTTATTTGGGACGAAAGTTTCGACCAAAATGAAGAAACTAATTTGTGACAGAGGAGTGTATTTTATGAAAATTTTATACTGACGATTAAATTGACATATATTAATTAACTTATAGAAAGAAGTGAAAAGTAGTTCTTCAAAAAGTAAATTGATTATAAAATTTCAGATGTAATATATAATGTCCAAAAAGTATCAAGAAATTATCCTAAAACATGCGGGGTACAAAAAATCGTACTCCTAACTATAGTACTTACTAAAATACTTTAGATTCAAGGCTTCAACATTTTTTCTTATTTATCAATACGTTTCCAGAAAATTCTACTTCAGAAAATTCTACTTCAGAAAATGCTATGAAATTTAGAAAAATGTAAAAGATTATGAGCTCCATCCTAAAACAGCGAGATTTCTATAATATTTAAAAGTAATAATCAAAATGTTAACGCTAGCTTTCTCTAATTTCTTTCTTGTTTTCGAAACGTTATTTTTTATGCATTACTAATGTTAACCTTCATATTTTTAATTTAATTAAAGTAATTACAGCGGCGTTAAATATACTTTCTTTTTGGTACGCCTCTGTGTAACTTGGCGTGAAAAAACTGGGGCAAAATATAGCTTTCAATTTAAAAATGTTCTGCACTATTGAAACAGTAAAATCAATATAAATAAAACCCTGAGTGACCTACAATGGGATACCTGCAAGTGGCGTAGTGTGGATTACTTGATCATGATTGGTTGATGAAAGGTGGCATTTGATTACGTTAGCAATTGTTCTTTCCTCTCCATTCGAATAAGCCAAGCCCGTCAAGTATCAATTCTCTTTTAGTGACATATTCCATATCCTTACACAAAGATTCTTTCACAAATATTCCAATATATATTTCTTATTTAACACAAAGACAGGGCTATTCAGAACATAAACAAACTAATTATGCATCGAAGCTGCCAGGTACACAAACCAAAAATATACCACGGTAACAATAAAATATACAAACAAATAATAAATCTAAGTTAAGTAAAAGACGTAGACGAGAAACAATTATATTTCGACAAATTCAAGATGCAATACCGGCACTATATTTTTTTAACTTCACGATAATTAACATTTTAATAATGTGGAGGAACTTAGCTTAACTTTAACACGCCATTTTGCTTGTTACTATCTGCTGGCGTTGAAGTCATGGGTCATATGTATGGGTTTCCGAGATTTTTATCCTCTTAAAATGCAAAACTCCAAATCAATGCTATTGCGATTTTTACATTTAACATTTTTAGGTTCTATATAATATATTGGGTATTTAGAACCTATATAATATGTAGTCGTACCTATATAATATATTTTTACAAATTTATAGGCAAACAAACGCAACGCACAAGCTCTCTAATTTCAACGTTGCGAAGAACTTTGTTTCTACTAAATGTTTGAATATTTTCTTGCGAAGAAAAAAGATCTGTCATTTGTTTTGAAAGTACAATGTGCTAAGTCATGTAAAGATCAGATATTAAGCATCATTAGCAGCCTTGGAGTAGCAAATTCAATTTCGATGCTGTTAAGAACTGTATTGTGCATTTGAAATTATTCAATGCATTATAAAATTATTATGAACAATAATTGTTTCAAATTTTTTTTTTATGATTTAAATGTTTTCATCACAATAGAGAAGTAAGAGCAGTGGAGCAGGAGATAGAGTGATCGCCTCCTAATTAGGTGACTTGGATTCGAATCCTAGCAATGGCAGTTAGATCGAATACCGCACCCGGCTAGCACCGACCACAGTGCTGATGCAAAATATCCTCAATGGTAGACGGATCATGGGTTAGACTCCTCTTGCCTACAGGCTAAACGTGGAGGTTTCCATGGTTTTTCTCTTTATGTAACCCGAGTTCGGGTTAGTTCCATCAAAAAGTTCTTCACGAAGGCAAATTTTTCCAAATACTTGATCCAGGAGTTCTCTTGTCTTCTGGATTGGGTTCAAAATTAAGAAGCTACGGAGGCTGTAAATGCAAATATTAAATCGGCTGTTCAAGAACAGTTATACACGGAGAAGTAAAGATGCATGAGTAATTAAGAACATCTCTTTTTTATGAAGATATTTATACTTTAGATTTTAAAATATTTTATGACTCAAAATATTTTTTTAGCTAAATTGTTTTAGCTATATTTTATGTTTTGAAGTAAATATTTTATTTTATATAATGGCTTTGTTCAGATATAACCAGAGCTAATGACAAAGCGTAGCAGATCGCTTCAACCGTTGTTTGTTTAGAGGGCCACACCAACATATCAGAAGCAGCTTTGCTTTTGTGCCAATCCATTTCAGAAAAAAACTTCATTCGTAATAGCAGGGCTGTCAACTTTCTACGCTTTGTTGATACTTTTCTTTAGCGTTAGCAAAGTTTATGTTTTAATGTTTTATTTTCTCTTTAAAATTTTTTATTTAAAGTCAATCTCAACACCACTACTTGTGAGTGATTCAAAAGTTCGTACTGAAAGCCACTTTCGTTTTAGTTAACTTGTGGTGAGGCTTTTAAAATTTTGACAAAATTTACCAATATTTTGAGAGTTTTAGTATTTGATTGTCTAACACTTTATGAAATATTTCCAAAAAAGCACAGTAGTTGCCAGTATTGGGCAATGTATTACGTTATTGATCTAGTTAGGCCTTCCAATGATGACTTCAAACTCAATAAAGGTTCTTTTGCAAACAAGCTCACACTACAGACTATAGTGTGAGCGTACAGAGCACATACAGACTATAGAACGCGTTTGTTTTTTTACTGTCGTCTTCACACAACTTTCACGAGTGTTTTAGATTGTTCCTGGTTTAGTGCACGAAGCGCGCGGCTTTTGATTGCAATAGCGATGGTGATTGCGTGGTGACACAGAGGATAAAGCCCTCGCCTTTTAATTGGGTGATCCTGTTTCGAATCCCAAAGAATTTTACACCTGGCTTGTACCAACCGTAGGGCTGAAGTAAAATAACCTCAGTGGTAGTCGAATCATGGGTAAAAATTCCCTTACCGTCAGGATGACCATGGTTGGTTTACGTGGTTTTCCTCTCCATATAACGCCAATGCAGGTTAGTTCCTTCAAAAAAAATCCTCCGCGAAGGCGAAGTATTCCCAATTCTTGACCCAAAAGTTCCCATGTTTTCTTGATTAAGTTCAAAATTACAAGGCTACGGAGATTAAATATGGTAGTCCCACGCTCAAAAATTGGGTCCGATGTTCAATGACGGCTATAAAATAAAATAGGGATATTGCATAGTAGGTAACTACCGAGGAAAACGAAATATATCAACTGCGACCTTCTTTGGAGATAACATCAAAGGTGTTAGGTGAAATATTTTTTTTTGTTGTCATGGATATAAATTGACAAATATTTTGCTACGGTATGAAGAAAAAGTGTAAAACTTGTAGGTTGATTAAGGTACTTAAAAGTAAATAGCATACTTTGAATTCTTAGAACATATTCATGAAGTGTTTTGTCCCAGCAAGTGTGCCAATTGGTCTGCTTTATGCGAAATATTTTACCTAGTAGCAGAGAATTTCAAATTAACAGTTGCCAAAATTTGGTTAATTTCGTTACTACCGTGAAAGGCTTATCGTAAGGAAACAAACTAATACAAAGTGGCGTTTTATGTATACTTTTTAATTATTTATACGTAATAGTATGCAAATTAGCTCGTAATCAAATTAACTACATACAGAATCATACATTAGAACATAAATTTTGCTACTTGTATGAAAAATGTTCTCACAAAGCAGAGCAAGTTGGCATCTTTGGTCCTAAGTATCCTGGCTTAAGGTTTTAGCTAAGAGGTTTCGTTGCAATTAAAGTTTTTTTTCAAATTTCAAAAGCAATATAGTAGTTATTTTAAAACTTAAATTTTAAAATAAACATTAAAATGGGCAACAAAAATCTAAAAATTTGATTATGAAAGAAATCCTACGGACTGCCGCAAAGAAGTAATAATAAATACGGAGAAATTTTTTTTTTAATGGAGTAGCTTCTGACGGCAAGCGTTTAGGTTCAAAAAAAAAAAAAAATTGTGCTTTAACCCTTTCGCGCCGACTGTCACAAATACGTGCCAGCATAAAACCGTATCAATCAGGGTAAAAAGATAAAACTGGTAATCAAAGAAATTCTTTAGCAGTTTATTTGTGGGCGGAGTTATAATTGTTTGATTTATTTAATTCACCATTACTTTGTTCAAAATAAAACTATTTAGTCATACTTTGAATTAACATTGATTATATATGTGATTAAACTAACAATAATTAAAGTAAAAGCAAAGTAAGTCTGTCAAATTAGAAACGACTACATTTAAGTTACCGTTTTTTATTTAATTACAATGTGATTCTGAGTTTGTACGAATGCTTTTATGAATCACCCGCCCCAAGGGGTTTAGTAAACGCATAGATTTCGATTCGAATACCAAAACACCATTTTTGAAGTGCCCGACTATATATATGCAATTTATGCTGTTTTATAAATGACCATTAAAATAAATGAAAACAAAGAATTTCTAAAAGGCGCTTGTAATTTAAGTCTCTTGACTAAACTAATGGTACTGTAACTTTAAAATTGCGACTCTTTTGCTTTAAGAGACAAAAATCTTAAACCATTAATAGAGAGCTACATTTTACAGGTTTTTACCTTCATCTTAATGATGGATATTAATAACCATCAGTTAACTAGTCTAATTTTTTTCAGCCTACTATGCTCTGTTTGCTGTGTCGAGAGTGGATTTAACGACTTAACGTAACTTTTAAACAAGATAGTTACTTTACGTTGCTTAAGGAAAGGGAAAAGCTGAATCACTAGAATGCTAAAACTATTTATAGACTAACTACTGTTGACGATATCTTAAATCTAAAGGATTATTGACTAAAGGGGCAATAAGGCTTTAAACTGAAATCAGTATGACAGCACAGCTCTAATGTTTAGAATGAATATAAGTATTTCTATCAATTACTTGATAAATCTTTGAAAAGTTCGTTGATATTTTCGAGAAATTCTTGGAATGTGACAATCTGTAATGAACCGCGGACGACGCCTCCTAGTGGAGAAAAATAATTTTAACTGGTAAACTGAATTAATAAAATCTGAAAAATCTCTCAGTATTTGTCAAAAATTAAATTACTATTGAGAATACTTCTGCAATCTAATGATAAAGGATTCATCCAAAATTAAAGTATCGGGTTAAGATAACTGTTTTTCCATCTCAAGACGAAAAATGAAAGTAAATAAAAAATAAAACAATAAAACTCAATGTTACCAACGAAAAAAACGGAAAGAAATAACAATAAATGCCAAAAACAAAACAAGATAAAGCGGCTATAACCGAAGGAGATACATAGGCCAAAAGAGGCAAATCAGAGAAAGTTATTCCATACAGAATGTAGAGTTTGTATAGAACTGATCTCATTAACTGGAGCAGAGGTTCCCAATTCTTTACGTCTACGGAACCTTAACTAATCGAACATCCTTTGGCAGAGCCGTGGTGACTAAGGGGATAGAGCGTCCGTCTTCCAATGAGGTGAACCGGGTTCGAATCCCACGATGACTGGTCGATCATATTCCGAACCCGGCTGTCACCGACCACAGTGCTGATGTAAAATATCCTCACTGGTAGACAGATCATGGGTCAGACTCCCTTCCGGTTATGCTAGCAGTAGGAGGTTTCTCTCCAGGTGGGTTAGTTCCATCAGTAAGTCCTCCACGAAGGCAAATTTCTCCCAATACCCCTGGAGTTCCCTAGTCTTCTAGATTGGGTTCAAAATTGCAATGCTACTGAGGTGAACATTAGTTGTCATAAACCCAAAATTAGATAGGCTTTTCAATGACGTTTATAAAACATCTTTTGGTGGAACCCCATGTTGATAAATAAAATTAGTAGCTGTAAATATACTAACCAGAAATATTGGATACCATTTTAATCATATTTAATGTGAAGAATGAAGTTTATTCAGCCATTGTTTTGTCAATAATAACCTTACAATAATAAGTTTTTATGCCGAACAATTTAATTTGCAATTGCGGAGTGGCATCTAGAGTAATACGAATCTGTTTTTGATTTCTGCAAAAGATGAAAACGAACAGAGTACGCAGCTTTGTAGTTTTCGAAAAAGGAACTGTTATATAAGTTGAGAATGGTTATCAGAGAAATAGAATTCTTTATTCTATGATTTAATTGTTTTATATGGAATTAAAAAGTTTGAAGAGAAATAATAATGCTATTATATATACATGTATGTTCTTTTCATAATTCATTCTATATATTGTTATTGGAAAAAATACTTTTAATTCTTTTTTACTGTTATTTTACCTAAATAGTTTCATAAAAACAACTAAAATATGAAATAAATAGTCGTTTATTGTTTGGATATAAGTATAGAGATAAGTTTCAAACATGATTGATAGTTTAAAAAATTTAAACTCTCGGAGCCGCTGTGAGGCTTCCACGGACCATTTGGAAACTGCTGAGCTAGAGAATTGGCATTTATATGAATGATAAAAAAAAAAAAAAACTGGTTTGAATTTTTTTTTAATTCATAGCTAAAAATTTATCAATAAGTGATTTTGTAAATTAACGAAATTTTAATGATGAATAATTGTTTCCCTTAGATTTAAATAACTGCAAATAAATGCATATTTGAAAAATTATTGTTTGGAAGTGGAGCCGTGTTTGGAACATTTTACTTTTAATGCAGGAAAAGACACCGATGTTTCATGATGGCTGTATTTTATATCCATAAATTATTAAAATGCAAAATATAAATTTTCCCACTTATTTTGGGCTATATTAATGTACCAATGAAAGTAAGTGTAATTCATAAGTTCAAATAAAACTCCACTTTGTTTAAGTTATGTCGTGCTGAACCTTCTAAAGCATTGGCAAAAATTATTAAATTTCTGCAAGTTTCTAATTCTTTACCACTTTATAAAGTCGTTTGCTAAGAACGAAGAGAGCGTCATCCTTGCCTCTATATGTCCGAAATTGCCCTGTGACGTCATTTGTTCGTTTCAACCCATGATCCATTCATTAAAACAAGGCAAATGAAAAAATTATAAGCTTATTCATTCATAACAATGTGCCTCGCATTTTTTAAAACGATGTATTAAAACAGTCTGAAGTCGCTAATAAAAAGAAATTAAGACGTTATTTCTCAACTATAAAAAATTGTTTTTAAATTTGCTTTTAAACAATTTAACATGTTCCACATGTTTGTAGTGTGACTAGGTGTGAAAATTTAACGGATATTTACCCATTTACCAACATTCAAAACGAAAATTTCAATGTTAAAAAAAATTGTGTTATCTTATCTCTTCCTATTGGCAAAATGGGTCTAATTTTTTTCCCGTCTACGTTCTTAGGCTTTAGCTTTTTCAGCCTCGGTAAGTTTAGGCCTTGGCATCGTTTTTTTTTTCTTGCTCCAACTCCAACCTTTGGGACCGTGTCGATCAGTTTCGGACCCTCTTTATTTGTGATATTCATCGGAATTAGTACTGAAAACGATCCAGTTTGAACTGCAGGTTAGAATTTCTGATTCTTAATTAAAACAATAAAAACAAAAATAACGTTCGAATGATAAAATTCTCTTTTATTCACAACTCAAGAAGCATTTATGAGATCTCTCTGGTCCCATATCTCAAAAATAAACTCACCAATTTAATGCATAACAAAATTAAAAGTGAAAAAAAAGCATTCTAAAAAAATTATCTAACAGCAGCGATCGCCATAGCAACGCATGCGCGCTGTTTACTATTGCTCTTGAACTCAGTTGAAAAGTGTGATGACGTCCAAATAAGGTGCGCACGGCATCAAAACCAAAACAACACCCATTTTGCTAATGGGTTATAAAAGAAATATTACATTTGTCCCCCTAGTCCCTCTTTTCCCTCCTACATTTATGAAATTTATCAGAATATTTAAGTGAACTTTTAACTCTGAGTAGCTCAGTTCTCCAATTTTAAAGTAAAATGTTTCTCTTAATTTTCTTCTTAGATATCCATCATTTAAAGCACTAATAAACATTTTTTAACTAGCATATTTTATTAAAGAAAGCACTGTTATCAATTTGTTTCTTACCTGAGTTTTTGGCTTTCTTTTTCTCCTAAGCTCCATTTTTGTGCTCCGAACGGGTTTCTGGAAGAAAAAAGAAAACAAAACATCTCAGTAAATAGTTTGATGACATCTATTGTTATTTCAGAAGCAGTCAACGTTAAACTTTAACATTCAATTTTTGCTCGTTTGGCTTATCACTTAACGTTAAATTCAAAATATTACTTTGGGTCGACATTATTATTCGAGATATTATGCAGAATAAAGATATTCGCCAAAAAGGCACGATAAGAAGACACCAACATTAATGCAACTCTTCCTCAATAGTGACATCAATAGATATTTATATTACTATAATTTGCAGTCATTTAGAAACAAACGGCTAAGCATATTTTTTTTAAATAAAAAAGGTTATTATTACTAAATCGTAATAATTTATTTCATTTATATGAAACACATTTGATCACAGTAAACACTTCATCACATTAAATCCATGCGTTAGGGTTTCGAAAAAACCCTTCTACGAAAGAGATTAAGCATTGGAAAAGTAATTTTTTTTTTTCATTTTATTCATTTTCTGGGTGTTAATTTGGGATGTTTTTTATCAATATAGTTACAAATCATCCACATCTATCTTATTTGAGTCATTTTACAATCGTTAACAAAATATACACATTTTTTGAACACGCTTTAAAAAATTTATTTTACTGGAAGGATTATCAAGATACCCTTGTGTCTTTTGGTGTATGCGTTTTACAAACAGGTTTTAATTATAAAATATGAAATTAACATTATCTATAAAATTTTGTGTTTCTACAACCACATGTTCGGATTTTTTTAAATGCAAAAAGGGAAAACTAATAAAATTCAAAATTTTATTAAAAGAGATTAAATCTAGTAACTTTTTATAGTATATTTCTATTTAGTTTATTATTAATATTGAATGTGAAGAATGGCTTTCTTTTAAAAATGCATACTTTGATATGAAAGTCCTAGTGGTAGCGCTTGATTAACTGGAAAGAAAATAAATAAATAAAAATGAATTGAACTTCTACCACTTTTTAAATTTTTAGTCGCTTGTGATATCCCTGCTGCAAATTTACGCTTTTAGTATAAAAATTTATTCTAGTTCTAGCTATGCTTAAGTTTTAATGTATTATTTTTTTATTCATTTAAACTTAATTCTCACACCACTACATATAGATAATTTAAAAGTTCATATGCAACGCCACTTCTTTATCAGTCTTTCGTAGTGAGTTACCAAAAGTTCTGAAAACTTTGGATCTCCAACTGCTACGGAATTTCCGTAGTTTCAGAAATCTTCTTTTCAGATGGTAGCAAAATTAATGTCTTAATATTTAAAAAAAAATTATTTTAGCGTAACTTGTCCACTATTACTTATAAAAGTGCAGGCCATATGGCTAGATTCTTAAGTTCTGATAAAAGTTTTATGAGAGATCCATTTGCTTTAAAAATTTCTACTTTGGTTCGCTATCACTAGAAAGAATTATTTTCAAAATCTTCATAAGTTGGAGGGTATGGATCTTAAATATCTACCTCTCTATAAAATATTTTGCAAAAAGCGCTGTAGTCGGCAAGCTTGTTAATAGCAAATTTTAGATGTTGCCATATTTATAGCCAGAGATGCCAACTGCTCCGGATTCGACAACATTTTTTAAAAAACGATCAGGAACTACGAATAAGATTCCAAGGCACCAAGATGAGCTGTTGTAACTGGGGTGAAAATAATTTTTGCTTTATCGAAATTGAATTTATGCTATGAAGAGCTTGGCACGTGTCGACCATTACTTCATATTTGTTTATTTTGAAAACGAATGACGAGACTCATGCTTTTCTGTTATGCGTTGCATTATATAGATTGTGCGTTGCTCTGGAGCTATATGGAATTTTATTATATTATTTTTTGAACGAAAGGTGGTAGTTATTAATTGAAAGTATTTTTTATTTTCGCATAATATCCTGCCGTTTTTTTATACATATATATATATATGTAATTTTCTCGTAACTTTTAAACTGTTGCATTTACGCCCCCTCAACAGGAAATGAGTTAAGCATATTGCTTATTTTCTAATACGAATTACCATTTTAGTGTTGAAAAATTGTGGTCTGATGATTTCATATTAAATAAAAAATACCAGCAGATCTGTCACCCCGGAAGGTCAGGATCTCCACATGATTTATCCATTTAAGTGCCAGACTCTTATTTTGAAGTAATGAAAATGTGCCTTTATGAAAAATATGGTAGCCGGTTTACATATAAATTGCATTAACATTTTGTTCAATTAACAACTAATTTAGTTAAAAAACATAGCAAATGTTTGATTTTAGAACAGGATATATAACACAAGATATGTAATTTTTCACTCTGGTAAATAGGAATATTCAGCTTCTCCAATTGTGAGTGCCAATAATTAAAGATTTGAATTTCCATTTTGAAAACAGAAGCATGTTCCAGAAATAGAACATTGATGCGAAAACAACTATAGAGCATAACTGCCTATATGCTTTTTGTGTAAAATTTTATTTTTAAATTTAAAGTTATAATAAAATTTATGCTTTTATTTATTGTTTGGATTTATAAATTAATTCAAGATATTTTTGACCATCATAATCTAAAAGTAAATTAAACATATAAATGCAAGATAATCTTCCGATATCGTGTTTAAGCTCATACAAAATAAATAATATGTTTCTGCTTATAATTGTAAATCCATTTTCATTTTACTACCTCAAGGGAAAAACATCCCTTCCCTCCGAAAAAAAAATTAAAAATTGGCAGGCATGAAATTGGTACTGAAATATGATATAAGTTAGAAAATGCTTTTAAAATGTTCGGCTATTAACACTATCAAATCATATATCAAGACTTACATACCTATCTTTGATTTATTTTTAATATCGTGCAAGTAAAAATAATTTTAATTCAAATATTAAAACACAAAGTTTTCTACCAAATATAGAAAATTATTTCTTACTTTATTTTAAAGAAACTCTTATGTGCTTTCTCATTACCACTTGTTTTATTCTTATCAGCTTCTTCAAGAGGATGAATTAACATGGCTTTCGAATGTTTCGCCCTGGTTTTACTAAACCTTAATAACTCAAAACATCGCCAAAGTATTATACTTATACAAATAAAGCGTCTTTTATTGTCACCAAAATTTGTAATAGTTTGGCGAAAATGTCATTGAAAAACTTATCTTTATAATTCTTTTATTCCCCAAATGTCAATATAGTAACCTATTATTTTTTAATCGATACATTTTACTTGATGTACTATAAGACGTCCTAATTATATAGATCAGAAACTTAGTAAGAAAGTGACATGAAAGAACTCATTCATTGGAGCTTTCCAGTTTTGACAGCATGCTTTGTTTAAAAGGATCATCTATATTCCATTTTTTTCCTTCTTTGTGTTGATGAGATAAACGTTTTTAATATATCAACAATTAATTGCATCGATATTGTTGAAAGCTATTAGAAGTTTCGATCGTAAAAACATAACTTTGTTTTATGTGAAGACATAGAAATTTGGAGCTGTCAGCAAATATATTTGAAGAATGTCTGTTTTAGTTGTGATTGTTTTGAATTGTCGATTTTTATGCATCATAGATATTTTATATCTTATAACCGTCGTTGAACAGCCGACCCAATTTTTGGGTTTACGACTGCTAATGTTGAACTCCGTAGTATCGTAATTTTGAACCTAATCCAGAAGACAAGGAAACTCCTAGATCGAGTATTGGGAGAAATTTACCTTCGTGGAGGACTTTTTGATGGAACTAACCCGCATTTGCGTTACATGGAGAGGAAGACCACGAGAACCCCCCACGGTTAGCCTCACGGCAAGGGCACTCTAACCCATGATCCGTCTACCTCTGAGGATATTTCATGTCAGCACTGTAGTCGGTGTAAGCCGGATGCGGAATTCGTATCTACTGGGAATTCGTATCTACCTCATTGGAAGGCGAACGCTCTATCCCCTGAGCCATCGCGGCTCATGCATCACAGATAAATAAGATAACTGTGAAATACAAGCTGCTTTGAAACAAAACTTTAAAATTTTGGTTAAATTTTAAATTATTAAGATTAGCAAAGCAGCCAACTGCAACGTTTTTTCCAAAATATTTTCCAGAGGGTAAAGACGTAAAAATTTATGGCAATTTTAAAAATTTCTTGGTAATTTTGTAAATTGTTCAAGCGCTTTTCCATGAGTAGGGAAGGGGAACAAAATCGTGTTTCATATGAGATTTTGAATCATTTACATGTAGTGGTGTGGAAAGTAACTTTAAACCAATTTTACAAAACAAACAATGATAGATAAAAATATAAAACTTATATACAGAAAATATTTTCCCAAATAGTGTAATAAATTGGCAACTTTGAATTACTAATATAAAATTATCTGATTGATGTGATTATATTGGTGTCAAACTATTCACAAGTTTGAGTAGATATGCAAAGAGATTATGTATCAAAAACTTTGTAAAAATTGACGCGAAAAGAACTCAGTTTAGATAGAGTTATTTGTCGAAATGGTTCATCTATTTTTTTAAAATTTTCTTTGAGTTGATGAGACACGAGTTTTTGATACGTCAACATTAAATTGCATCAATATTGTAGGAAACTATTAGAAGTTTTTATCTAGTAAACGTTAAACATTGTTTTATGCAAAAGAAATATTGATTGTACAGAAAACTATCAGTACATAATAAGTGTTTCGTAATTCACGCACGATCTGTTTCACCATTTGTGTTATTAAATGTTTCCAACGAAAGGAATGAACCAAATATCTAACAGCTCATCATAATGAAATAGAACGTTTTTTATACTGGGAAATATTTTAAGCATTGTTGAGTCATTTAAGTTAATTATTATTTTATTTCCAGGCATTATCGCATAATTTAATATTTTGATGATTAGAATTGGCTGCTCAAATCATGCAACTAAAAGCAATGTGTCTTTCTTTTTTTATGTTTAAAGTATATGTTAAAAGACCAATAATCTTTCAAGTTTTTAAGAAGGAAATTGAACACTGTATTAACAAAACTCAGCCGTGTTTATAAGAAATGATCATTTAAAATTTTTAAAAAACAGTCCATATGTATAAAAAAAACTATATAATAATTTATTTACACGCTATAACATACACCGAAGAGCCATTACATTATGACCACCCTCCATCTATAACAATGGGCTCTCCCTGGTTTTCATGGTTTCTCGTCCAGGAACAATGTTTCCATGGGGCACATTAGGACCCATAATCCTCATAGAACAATCCCTGACGTCTGTAAGCTACTTGAACATAGTTGCAGACCAGGTTCACCCATTCATGTGAACAGTTTTTCTTGCGGGGGATGGTGTTTACCAACAGGATAATGCACCATGTCATAAGGGTCGAATCATCATGGATTGGTTCGAGGAACATTCCAGTGACTTTCAAGTCATGTCTTGGCCCCCAAATTCACTGACCTTAATCCAATAGAGCATTTGTGGTCCTACTTGGAAAACCAAATTCGTGCTGCCACGCTACTCCCTCGCAATGTGAGGGAATTGCAGGACCAGTTGGTGAGCACTTGATACCAGTTACCTCTGACTACCTATCAGCACCTTGTGGAATCAATGACTCGGCAGATGCTAGCAGTTTTGAGGGCTAAAGGTCCTACATGTTATTAGCAGGGTGGTCATAACGTAATGGCTCTTCGGTGTATATAACCTTACATGGTATACTTTATAAATTAATAAAAATTTCCCAATGTTTAATTAAAAACCTGCATTTTTTAATCAAAATAACTTCGTGAGTAAATTTCAGTGGACACAACTGTATTACAAAGAATGTCCATTTTAGTTACGATTGTAGTGCAAAGAATTTCATTACTATATACAGATAACTATAAAATTCTAGTTCCTTTTAAAATATTTTTAATTTAGAATTCTTATGATTATATGAGTACAAAACTATCTGAATGTTTATCGTTATATTAGTGTTAAAATATTCAGAGAGCTCAGTAAAAAGGAATTATTATGAAAAAGTAAATTTTAATGTAATTTTCTTAAGAAATATTTGTTGAAAAATATATTTAATTAATAGTAATTTTCAATTGACAAAGTTACATGTAAGGGCAATTCCACGGAAGTGTCAACTTTTAAGTGAAATTTTTTTTTTATGAATTGCATATTTTAATTTTAAAAATATGTTCAAAAATAGCCAAAGTCTACATATTGCCGTTTCATTTTTGATAATTTTAAATTTCTTGAATCTGGCAGCATTTTAATGTAATCACATGGCTGACAAGTGAATTGTTCGCATTTGTGCTCAAATTGTTTTCTTGAAAAATACTTATAAAACAAAAAAAATGTATCCTTCTTTTGCAATATTTTGATAAAAATATGCATATGGAACAAAATTTAAACATTTTAAGTTTAATATATAAAATAAAAGTAACTTCTTTTACGTCATTCCGTCACATGTCTTAATAATGCATAAATTTCCTGAGAACGAAGATAAGATGTGACATTGGCAAGTTAGATATAAAACCTCTTCAGAGACAACCTAATTTTCAAACTGTTGAAATTTTTACTAATTCTTACATAAATATTAATCCTGTTTATCTGTTACATTCTGTTTATCATTTACATATTAATAAAACATTTTTTAAATGAAGGCTTTCTTCTACTAAACTTTTTGTCATTCCGTCACGGTCATTCCGTCACAGCAAATAGATGTTAATAACTGCTAGCCAACCTGAGGTTAATTTTCCAAATTCACATTTTACATTGCTTACACATTATACTAAAAGTATAAAATAGTTCAGAAAAATAATAGCTGCAAAATTCGCAGAAACTACCAGTTCTAAGCGGCATGCCAAAAGCTTGGTTGCCAAAATGTCATTCCGTCACGCAAATAAAAAGTTCGTAAAATTAAAAGTAAAAAAGATAGAAAATCCTGTTTTTTTAGTTTATGAAGCGCATTATGCCAATAATAATGATATGCATGAGAAATTTTTTTTATATTTGAAATTAGATACATAGGAACTTCAATTAATTGTTATTTTGCAAGTCAAAATGTCATTCCGTCACATATGGAATTGCCCGTAATTTAAACTTTGTTATTAGAAAAATATAAAAATTCATTTTTAAAAATTTCTCAATTCTGTGTGTTCTAGTATGAAAATTTTTCCCTTATCATTTCAAATAGTGTTGAAACTAAAACACAAGTTTTGCCAACGATATACGACAGACATATAAATTATTTCCAAGTACAGCGCTCGCTGGGCCCTAGGCCATTCAAATTTTTGGGGCCCTTAGATTAAATTTTTTTCTTGTACATTTTTTTTTAAATTTATGTAATAATACTTATAAATAATAACTAAAATAAGTAATAAATAAATATGATTAACATTATGTAAAAAAATTATTGTATTTTAATAATATATATTTAAAATTGATTTCTTTTTAAAAAAATCATTGTTTTTCTTAATTTTTTAAAATTTATTTTCAAAAAATCCATTTTAGGGGGGCTCCTAATCATTGGGGGAAACCAGAGTACATTTCTTCTAATCAGAGTACATTTTGTATCGAATGTGACCACTAAAGCTCGAAGGCCGTAAAAGTGCACATTACCTAGCTAATCTGCATATTAACTGATTTTCTCTATTAAAGCGTAGAATCAAGGGTTTTCCATCTTTTACTCAGATAATGTAAACGGCTTCTGTGGCGTTAAAATTCAAAAGTTTGTTTCTCTTATTTCCTTGTAATAATGTTCTGTTTAATTCTCATTAATTTAGTTCTCATAATTCTCATTTAATTGTAATTATATTTTAAACCGTCTGATTCTTTGCATTCTAATACGTTAGTTGATTGATTGATTCTACATATCAACTATTTTGATTGTATTAATTTGATTCTTTAGATAGCTAAAAATAAATGAAAAGTATTATGCTAATTTAAGCGCACAGAAGCTTTGCTCCTGTTCTTGCAAAGATCTTATATTACTTTTAACGATAGTTAGGTTATTGATTGAGTGATTCTATATATCAACTATTTTGATTGTATTAATCTGATTCTTTAGATAGCTGAAAATAAATGAATAATATTATGCTAATTTAAGCGCACAGAAGCTTTGCTCCTCTTCCAGCAAAGATCTTATATTACTTTTAACGATAGTTAGTTAATTGATTGATTGATTCTACATATCAACTATTTTGATTGTATTAATCTGATTCCTTAGATAGCTAAAAATAAATGAATAATATTATGCTAATTTAAGTGCAAGCTTTGCTCCTGTTCCAGCAAAGATCTTATATTACTTTTAACGATAGTTAGTAAATTGATTGAGTGATTCTATATGTCAACTATTTTGATTGTATTAATCTGATTCATTCGATAGCTAAAAATAAATAAATTACATTATTCTAGTTTATCAGAAAGAAATGTTGCTGCAGTTTTAGCAAAAATCTTATTTTTACTTTAACGAGTACCTAGAAGTTAATGCGTGGATTATCGGGGCAATTTGAGCAATGAAATAATTTTCTGCACTTTAAAGGATCATACCACAGTTTTAATTTGCACGTTGTTTAGATAATCTGTAGAATAACTGATTTCTGCATTTCAGAAATAGCATTTTTAATTCAAAATTTTAAGTATTTACTTAGAATAAAATTTTCGGTAAATACTCATACAGCAGTGTTTCCCATAGTGGGGTATGTGTACCCCCAGGGGTACGGAAACAGTTTAGCTGGGGTACGCGTTCTTATGCGAAATATCTTGCAGCAAACGAAAATTTCAAAAATTTTTATTTAAAAACAAAGCTAGCCATGAAAATTTACGATTGCGTATTTTTCTATTGGTTATTTTTTGCAGAGTTAACAGTTAATAATGAGTGGTGTCAACAGCCAGTTGTGATTTTTAACTTTTGTGCAATTTTTATATAGTAAAGGTTTGTAATAAATTCTACTTATTTTGATTGATTTTATAGAATAAAATTTTTATCCCTAACATAGTATATAGATTGCTGGTCAGTATCTAAAAAATTTAGTACCAAAAAAGAAAAAGAAACGTGTTTTTAAAAAAATACGTTCGTTTTTTTATTAGTGGTACACAGCGTTACGAAAAATTTAGAAAGGGTACACAAAAGTCATAAGTTTGGGAAACACTGTCATACAGTATTGGAATGCACCATTAAGTATAAAAGAGCATCTGTATCATTTTTAACTATTGCAGAACTATAGATGAAGGTAAATTTAGAACACAGAGAAATATTCGTTATGATTTCAAATTAAATTTTCATTGACAAACACAGTTTGTGAGAACACAGGATAATATTCGTATACGATTTTGATTTAAATTTTCATAAACTAACAATGAAAGAATGAATTCAATTTTAAATAATTACGTTTGAAATGAATTAAAACACATCATACCGTAACAAAAGCTGTAATTAAGTATCTAATCGTTTTCATCATTTCAAACTTCTAAACTACTAGAACCAGCATTAAAACTTTAATCTAACTTGCATTTCGATCAATTTCCTAAATGAAAACGATTTAAATAAGCGACTTACTGTTTGACGTCATATGTTCTCTGTATCAGGGAAGACATTTCATTCAATTGTAACGATGTAACACATGTATCCCATCGGCAACTGAAAACACATTTCGTTGATCTATCACGAGCTTTGACACATTTTTGCGGTGCAAAATAAATGGATGAATGTATCCGGCATTGGATATTTTAGACTGGCAGAATTTAATTCTTTGTATGATAGTTCGAAGAAATGGCTCATAAATTACTAAAAAGTGACATCACTCTCCCATTGTTTGGTACTACTTTCAAAAAAAAAAGAGATCAAATTTAACCTNCCGTAGCCTTGTAATTTTGAACTCAATCCAGAAGACAAAGAAACTCCTGGATCAAGTATTGGAAGAAATTTGCCTTCGTGGAGGACTTTTTATGGAACTAACCCGCATTTGCGTTACATGGAGAGGAAGACCACGAGAACCTGCCACGATTAGCCTCACGGCAAGGGGACTCTAACCCATGATCCGTCTACCACTAAGGATATTTCACGTCAGCACTGTGGTCGGTGCAAGCCGGATGCGGAATTGGTATCGACTGGGACTCGAATCAGGATCACCTCATTGGAAGGCGAACGTTCTATCCCCTGAGCCATCGCGCCGGGACTCATGCATTACAGATAAATAAGATAACTGTAAAATACAAGCTGCTTAGAAACGAAACCTTAAAATTTCGTTAAATTTTAAATTAATATGCTTAGCAAAGCAGCACACTGCAGCGCTTTTTCCAAAATATTTTCCAGAGGGCAGACACGAAAAATTTATGGTAATTTTTAAATTTATTTGGTAATTTTGCAAACTTTTCAAACGCTTAACCATGAGTAGGGGGGAACGAAATAGTGTTTCATATGAGATTTTGAATCATTTACGTGTAGTGGTGTGGAAAGTAACTTTAAACCAATTTTACAAAACAAAGAATGATAGATAAAAATATAAAACTTAGATACAGAAAATATTTTCCCAAAAAGTGTAATAAGTTGGCAACTCTGAATTACTAATATAAAATTATCTGATTGATATGATTGTATTGGTGCCAAACTATTCACAAGTTTGAGTAGATATACAAAGAGATTATGTATCAAACACTTTATAAAAATTGACACGAAAAGAACTCAGTTTTAATAGATTTATTTGTCTTAATGGATCATTCATTTTTTATTTACCTTTGAGTTGATGAGACACGAGTTTTTGATACGTCAACATTAAATTACATCAATATTGTAGGAAACTATTAGAAGTTTCTATCTAGAAAACTTTAAACATTGTTTTATGCAAGGAAATTGAAAGCAAAGATTGATTGCAAAGAAAACTATCAGTACGTAATAAATGTTTCGAAATTCACGATTTCATGATTTGTTTCACCATTTGTGTTATTAAATGTTTCCAACGAATAGAATAAACCAAATATCTAACAGCTCATTTTAAATGAAATGGAACGTTTTCTATGCTGGGAAATATTTTAAGCATTGTTGAGTCATTTAAGTTAATTATTAATTTATTTCCAGGCATTATCGCATAATTTAATATTTTGATGATTAGAATTGACTGCTCAAATCATGCAACTAAAAGCAAATGCGTCTTTCTTTTTTTATGTTTAAAGTATATGTTAAAAGACCAAAAACCTTTCAAGCTTTTAAGAAGGAAATTGAGCACTGTATTAACGAAACTCAGCCATGTTAATAAGAAATTATCTTTTAAAAATTTTGAAAAACAGTTCATATGTATAAAAAAACTATCTAATCTTTTACCTACACACTATTTCATGCATAACCTTATACGGTATACTTTATATATTAATAAAAAATTCCCAGTGTTTAATTAAAAACCTGCAAAACCTGTGAGTAAATTTCAGAGGACACAACTATATTACAAAGAATGTTCATTTTAGTTACGATTGTAGTGCAAAGAATTTCATTACTATATAGAGATAACTATAAAATTCTAGTTCCTTTCAAAACATTTTTAATTTAGAATTGTTATGAATATATGAGCACAAAGCTATCTGAATGTTAATCATTATATTAGTTCAAAAATATTCATAGAGCTCAATAAAAAGGAATTATTATGAAAACGTAAATTTTAATTTAATTTTCTTAAGAAATATTTGTTGAAAAATATATTTAATTAATAGTAATTTCCAGTTGACAAAGTTACATGTAATTTAAATTTCGTTATTAGGAAAATATAAAAATTCATTTTTAAAAATTTCTCAATTCTGTGTGTTCTAGTATGAAAATTTTTCCCTTATCATTTCAAATAGTGTTGAAACTAAAACACAAGTTTTGCCAACGATATACGACAGACATATAAATTATTACCAAGTACAGGGCCGGATTAAGCTCACTCGGGGCCCTAGGGCATTTAAATTTTTGGGGCCCTTAGATTAAATTTTTTTCTAGTATATTTTTTATTTATATAATAATACTTATAAATAATAACTAAAATAAGTAATTAATAAATATGATTAACATTATGTAAAACAATTATTGAATTTGAAATTGATTTTTTTTAAAAAAATCAGTGTTTTTCTTAATTTTTTAAAATTTATTTTCAAAAAATCCATTTTAAGGGGGTCCCTAATCATTGGGGGCCCCAGGTCATCCCCTAGTCTGGCCTAATAGGTAATTCAGCACTGATCAAGTACCATATAGTATTTCTAGAAATATCGTTGAAGCTTCGAATCAGAAAACATTTTTTATCGAATGTGACCGCTAAAGCTCGAAGACCGCAAATGTGCACATTACCTAGCTAATCTGTAGATGAAGTGATTTGCTCCATTAAAGCGTAGAATCAAGAGTTTTCCACCTTTTATCTAGGTCATGTAGACATAAATAGCTTCTGTGCGGTTAAAATTCAAAAGCTTGTTTATCTTATTTCCTCGTAATAATGTTCTCCTTTAATTCTCATTAATTTAATTCTCGTAATTCTCATTTAATTGTAATTATATTTCAAACCGTCTGATTCTTTGTGTTCTAATAAGTTAGTTGATTGATTGATTTTATGTATCAACTATTATTTTGATTTTATTAATTTGATTCTTCAGATAGCTAAAAATAAATAAATAACATTATTCTATTTCAAGCTTACAGAAATTTTGCTGCCGTTACAGCAAAGATTTTATATTCACTTTAACGATAGTTAGTTAATTGATTGATTGATTCTGCATATCAACTATTTTGATTGTATTAATTTGATTCTTTAGATAATTAAAAATAAATGTATAATATTATGCTAATTTAAGCGCTCAGAAGCGTTGCTCCTGTTCCAGCAAAGATATCATATTCACTTTAACGATAGTTAGTGAATTGATTGATTGATTCTATATATCATCTATTTTGATTGTATTAATCTGATTCATTAGATAGCTAAAAATAAATGAATAATATTATGCTAATTTAAGCGCACAGAAGCTTTGCTTCTGTTCCAGCAAAGGTCTTATATTACTTTTAACGATAGTTAGTTAATTGATTGAGTGATTCTATATATCAACTATTTTGATTGTATTAATCTGATTCATTAGATAGCTAAAAATAAATGAATAATATTATGCTAATTAAAGCGCACAGAAGCTTTGCTCCTGTTCCAGCAAAGATCTTATATTACTTTTAACGATAGTTAGTTGATTGATTGAGTGATTCTATATATCAACTATTTTGATTGTATTAATCTGATTCATTCGATAGCTTAAAATAAATAAATTACATTATTCTAGTTTAAGCAGAAAGAAATGTTGCTGCTGTTTTAGCAAAAATCTTATTTTTACTTTAACGAGTACCTAGAAGTTAATACTTGGATTATCGGGGCAATTTAAGCAATGAAATAATTTTCTGCACTTTAAAGGATCACACCACAGTTTTAATTTGCACATTGTTTAGATAATCTGTAGAGTAACTGATTTCTGTATTTCAGAAATAGCATTTATAATTCAAAATTTTAAGTATTTACTTGGAATAAAATTTTCGGTAAATACTCATACAGCAGTGTTTCCGAAAGTGGGGTATGTGTACCCCCAGGGGTACGGAAACAGTTTAGCTAGGGTACGCGTTCTTATGCGAAATATCTTGCAACAAACGAAAATTTCAAAAATTTTTATTTAAAAACAAAGCTAGCCATGAAAATTTACGATTGCGTATTTTTCTATTGGCTATTTTTTGCAGAGTTAACAGTTAATAATGAGTGGTGTCAACAGCCAGTTGTGATTTTTAACTTTTGTGCAATTTCTTTATAGTAAAGGTTTGTAATAAATTCTACTTATTTTGATTGTTTTTATAGAATAAAATTTTTATCCCTAACATAGAATATAGATTGCTGGTCAGTATCTAAAAAATTTAGTACCAAAAAAGAAAAAGAAACGTGTTTCTTAAAAAATACGTTCGTTTTTTTATTAGTGGTACACAGCGTTACGAAAAATTTAGAAGGGGTACACAAAAGTCATAAGTTTGGGAAACACTGTCATACAGTATTGGAATGCACCATTAAGTATAAAAGAGCATCTGTATCATTTTTAACTATTGCAGAACTATAGATGAAGGTAAATTTAGAACACAGAGAAATATTCGTTATGATTTCAAATTAAATTTTCATTGACAAACACAGTTTGTGAGAACACAGGATAATATTCGTATACGATTTTGATTTAAATTTTCATAAACTAACAATGAAAGAATGAATTCAATTTTAAATAATTACGTTTGAAATGAATTAAAACACATCATACCGTAACAAAAGCTGTAATTAAGTATCTAATCGTTTTCATCATTTCAAACTTCTAAACTACTAGAACCAGCATTAAAACTTTAATCTAACTTGCATTTCGATCAATTTCCTAAATGAAAACGATTTAAATAAGCGACTTACTGTTTGACGTCATATGTTCTCTGTATCAGGGAAGACATTTCATTCAATTGTAACGATGTAACACATGTATCCCATCGGCAACTGAAAACACATTTCGTTGATCTATCACGAGCTTTGACACATTTTTGCGGTGCAAAATAAATGGATGAATGTATCCGGCATTGGATATTTTAGACTGGCAGAATTTAATTCTTTGTATGATAGTTCGAAGAAATGGCTCATAAATTACTAAAAAGTGACATCACTCTCCCATTGTTTGGTACTACTTTCAAAAAAAAAAGAGATCAAATTTAACCTTTAAAATGTACTTATAAAATAAATAAAAATATATTATTGTGCTTCGATTTTCTAAGCTCAAGCGTAAGATTGCT